CTTATATTGTCATAACATGTAATTTCACAGAGCAGTCTGTGTTCCACTCTCCAGGCAGTTGAACATCATCTCTGCTTCTTAGCCTAGGGAGTGACTAGTTCATTGGCCATGTCATGCAATCATATCACAAAAACCTTGGGGACTGTCAGTGTTTAATCTGCCCTTAATGAAGCCTGCCAGATCAGCTTACACTATTTGTCACTATTTTCTGGCCTGGCTGACAGAGCCTTGGCAATGATTTCTGCTTCTAAAACAAAGAAAGAAATAGGCAGGCCTGCAGTTGGGAGCGTTAACTGGAATTGAAAACTATGAGAAACCCAGGCAGAAATCTACCTTTGATCTGTTTCCTGTGTGTTCTAGGCTACATGAAATCAGATTAGTTTTAATCCCCGTAACTACTATATCCTTGGCTGAACTCAGGCAAGATGCATGCGGGGACTGAGGCCAGATGTAGGGGTAGACTAGAGTTCAGGAACCCTTGATCTGGAAAAGTCACAGTGGAGTGCAGTCTTGTGCACAGCACTATGGCTTCTTAGTGACCATGCACAGAGATAGATTGTGTGTTTCTGCACTGAACTCCCCAGCATTTCTAGTTTATGAGTCAGTATGCAGATCCCTGCCAGCTCAAGTGGCCCTGCTCCCACATTGTAGACATGACCTTAAGTACCTAATGGCCACCTTAAACACTTCAGGCAGAAATGTAGGTCTTTGAAACCTGCCACGTAACCCAGGTGTCTGGAGATGCTAAACAGTAGCAAGGCCTGAGAAAATGGACATCTCCCTCATACCTAGACACGTCAGGACCATCACAGAAGACACACTGTGCCTGTCCTCTGAAACAGTCTGATAGAGCTCAGAAAGCATCTCTTGAACCCCAAGAAAATAGCTCCTGCCGTCAGGGAAACAGAAACCTGATTCTACTCCTAATGAACAGCCAATTACTCAAGTAGAGATTGGACTCTCACGGTTAATGCCTTAAACAACAGCCTGACTACTAGGCTACACAGTGGTTCTTGTTCTCTCCTTCACTCCCTTTATTATTTAGTAATATCAGGACAGCAGCTTCAGGAGGTTTTCTATCTTAGAATAACTTTAAAAGATATGATTAAATAAGGGCATGTTGGTTAAACTTGCATCTGTCAGCTAGTAGATTTGACCCCCAATCTGTCATCTCTGTATTGTACTGTACTGTAATTGCCTCTCATCTCTTCCCCAGTCAGCATTTGTGGCAAAGGATGACTCAAAAGAATGGATATGTATGAATCCCAGTTGGAGCTGGGCATTTTCCTGCACCCTAGTTGAGGATACCAAGTTCATGGAGAGAGTTTAAAATCTTAGCATTCTGCAGTAGCTCCGTGCTAATGTGCTGGCTTTTGTGGGTGTCATTCCTGTGGATTGCTTAAGCACAGAACTCTTGGCAGGGTGATCTGCAGACTGCAAGGCACCTTGTGGTTAGGAACTGACATCCCTGCCTGTGCCTCGTTGTGAATCTGTCTCTCCCAGTATTTACTGCTAAGACTTTTTCCCTCATCCAAAGCATGTCAATCCAAGCAGATAGAAAGGAGGACCTTTTCTCTAGAATAGGACCATGGGAGGAAAGAGATTGCAGTAGCAAAAGCAGTATAAATCTCATGAGCAGTCAATACCCTGGAAATATAAGTAGCTTGTCTATGTAAAAGCCTAGCATAGAGTTAGGTGAGGTGGTATGTCGGCTAGAGATTTCTTTTGGATAAGAAATGTCATATTGTACAAAGGGTTTCTATTGACACTTCTCTCTACTTCTGAGCAAAGCATATGTAATATTGTGTTGCTAATATATTTTTTTCATATGTTTGATGTAATGACATGGGAGCAGATGTGGGAAACATATAATAAATACATCTGGAATGGGTGGATGCCATCTTAAATAACCACTGGAAGTCTGCCTTTCTCAGCTTTATGGTAGGCTGTAGGGTTGATATCATGTTCAGTGACATTCGCCAAACAATGTCTAGGTCATAACAGCTCAATTACATTTTTTCTGAGTCTATTCACCGAGAAACCATTAGTGCAGATCCTGGGCTGTCAAGAGAAGCTTGGACTCCTGGAGTGAGCTGACTCCCTGTTGGAAAGAAACTAGCAGCAAGTTCACAGGTTACAGGGGTATCTCTGTGTGCTTGAGTCCTGCTGTGAACGCAAATCTTTCTTTTGTTAGTCTATCTGCCTTCTCAGCAGTATCTCAGCCAGGTCCCTTACAGTCTGATCAGAAAAATGGGTAACTTGGGATCCCCAGGTAGCTAAAGGCAGAGTTTAAGGTAAGAAATGTGAGTGCTGTAGATTAACTTACTGACGTACACTGGTACTAGTGAGATGCCCATTAATGAGGTTGGTGCCCAAGCACCCTGTCCTATGCTCGAGGAAGCCACAAGTGTCTGTGAATTGGACACACAGAGAATATTTGCATAGATAGATGGAGAGAGATCCAAGTTCATGCTGCTTCCACGCTGATCTGGCTAGATATTATTTAGCTCAGTCCAGAAATCATGTAACCGTGTTGGCTTTTGCTGTGCTATGCTTTTCTATGTTGGGAGAGCTATGGCACAGCTATGAAAAGTAGTTGAACCTTCTCATTCTTTGTCAGATGTTTGCTTCTTTTTTTTAAAAAATAAGCTATTAACTTAATTTAAACCTTGTTATAATATTAGTTTCTCAATTTGTCCCTGTTGCTGTCTTTGTACCATGTACTCTTTGAAGTTCAAGGTTGTACATAGCAAAAATGTCAGCACTGCATGAGTTTAAGTGACAGTTTGTCTCTTTCTAATATGCTTAAGGAATCTTTTAGTGCTTTTCTTTTGAATATATTTTCTTTCCTAGGGCCACTAAATACATGTTTCACTAGACATTGTCTAATTATGGTGTTATTTTGAATATAAGATTAATTCAGAAGTGGGTGTAGACGTTTTGTTGAAAATACTTTCTGATTTCCATTTTTTTAGTTATAGAAGGCAAAAGATTATTTTGTTGGTGTGTCCTGTGGATAGAATATGAGAGTCCCAGGGTTCAAAAGTCAGATGTGAGGGAGGCCTGACTCCTGTGTAATATTTGACTATGAATGTGATATTTGATAAATCATAACAGTTTCAGTCATGTAAGATGCAGAGTGTGTCCTGGTGATGCTGAAATTTCTCAGATCCAAATGAAGTTAACACCATGTATCAAATCTCTTTTGTTTTTCTGTTAAAAAAAAAAAGAGATATAGTGTTTAATGCTTTCACATCTTCATATGACACTGGAGTTTCACAGACAAAAAAAGTGTGTGTGCACAGCCTCTGACAAAATACTGCTTATTTTGTTGCTCTGTGTAGATCTCCTGTATGGGTCAGTTTGGGTATTCAATGCAATTTATGGAACAGTTTTCTTCTTTAATTTACAAGTCAGACTTATCTCAGTATAGGGAAACCCCTTTGAGGGATTTTGTATTAGAGAATGTCCCATCATTTGTGACACCAGCATTTTTTTTTGTGAAAACATGGTCTTGGTTCTTGAACACCTGCTTGGAGAAGCAACATCCTAAACAACACCTCACCTTCAGGAAGCATGAGTCCCCTTTGCAAAAGTGTCTCCACTACACAAGAAAGAAACATAAACACTGCGGGGTTTGAAGCAATGCTCCCTGGAGAGCCCCTTTGCACAATGGAGTGTAGAAGGACCTTGCACAAGTTCTGGGGAAATGTTCTGTAGGCAGGATGCTCTCTATTCATCTTCTGAATAGGAGTAGAGAAGAAAAAAATCACTCCCCATGTATATTAATGTAGTTCATGCTACGAAAAGTTGCTAGATTGGCAGGTCAGAAGAGATCTTGTTCTACTGCGTCACAACACAGATACCTCAGAGGTAGGGTTTTACTAAAGTTTCCCCAACAATATTTTTCAAACTGAAATCACTGATTTTGTGTACAGTTAAACAGGTAGCTTTGCCTTCTAAACCAGTTGTCTCTTGATTTCTATTACCAATAAAAGGGTTATCTGCAAGGGTAGCTGCAGACAGAGGAGGGAGGGGAGATGTCTACCTACGCATTTCACAGGGGTCACAAAACATCTGTGACACGACTACCATTTCATGTTATTCCCAACCCAGGCAGGTCTTCAGCTGCTGATTTAGAAGGCAAAGACCCCTCACTCTGCCCAGCCCCATTAGCAGGGCTCTAACCTCCCCATCTGCCCCATATGATCTGACAGGTCTGCCCTTCCCACCATGGCTGTGGGCAGCTTTGTCTCCTCTGAGCTGAGAGGAAGGTCATATACACAGCAGTGTGCCTTTTCTGCTTCTGCTCCACTGCATGCTCTGCCTCACTGACTCATACAGCTCCTTTCAGGCACTTCCTCGAGTGTTAACGTAGCATAATTTCATAATGTAGAGTAAGTAACTTTGAAGCTGGTATTTCCATTTTGAACGGGGTAGATGTAAGTGGAGTTTGGGCTTACGTTACATTACATTATGTTACGTCCTGTGTCATTAAATGAGGTTTCTGGAAGAATATACATACAGAAAAAAACACTATGAGATACAGCATTAATTGCTACATTGAGCCATGATGTCAAGTAAATGCTTCTCTTCCTCCTTGCTTCCCACAAGTGCCAAAGAACAGACCTTGTTTACTGGAATTTACAAATTATTTTGTCTTTCTGAGTGATGCAATGACAGTGCCCTCTACACTGTCATTTAATTCATAATGCCATTTGGGGATTTTTATCCTACATTTCTAATGCTGTTTTTAAATAACTACATTTCTTTCCCCCCCCCCCAGGTCAGCTCTAATTTTATAATGAGAATTTCAGTTAGATTATTTTAAAAAAGAATCTAGGCCATGTATGCTATGTAAGGTTGCCATAGTAACAGTTTCTCCCAGGGGAAAACCAACTGTCTGTAGTTTCCACAGAAACCACTCACTGCTGAGACAGGTGCCTCCAAGGGAAGTGAAGGGAATATAAATGAGAGAGAAAAAGACGCACACAGATGTCATATGATCTCTGCGGCATCCCCACACTGTTGCAAATTCAGCTGAACATTTCTGGGTTTATTTTTAGTTTGTTTTTGATTTCATGACTGGCACCTTCTCTTGTCATGTAAACTCTGGCCACCCTTCCCTCCCATGGAAATGGTTTTGCAGCTGGAGATACGGCAATGCTCCACCTTGGCAGTGAACTGACCACATCAGATACCAAAGTCCAGTGCTCTAGGAACCACTGTGCGTGGGAGAATTTAAATGGTAAATGAGAATTTTCTCCCTTTTTTATTAACATTTTTTTTTCTGAAAGATGTCAGCAAAGACAGACAGGTATGGAAATACTTCTTCCCAGAGAGGAATCAGAGAGGAGTGAATCTCAACTAATTTGTCAGTTAGGTTTTGATCTTTTGGGGTACGAGCATGTACTGCTAGGAAAAATGTATTCTGAAAGATCAGAATGTAGCAAAAAGGAATTAACTTCTAGGATTTGTTAACCAAGAAAAAAAGGAGAATTTTTTTCAATGTACTTTAATGTCACAGAGGCAAATATGGATTAGCTTTTCTGAAATCCTTTTGCATGGTTTTTTTTTCACAAATAGTGTTGATTTGTTTTTTGTTTTGTTTTTTTTTTTTCTTCAAGGGCAATAAAACTGTGACATTCATTCAAGGCTTAGTGCAGCCATAACTACAGATTAACGTGCTGGCTACTTCATCTTCATCCTGTCATCTCTCTGCTGCTTTATGGGGAAAGCAGGCTGACATGGTTATTAAATCTGGCAGCTGTGTTGTATGCACATGGGAAGCAAGTAGAGCACAGCATATAGAAAATGAGTAGCTTTCAGATAGCAGTCGTCTTTTCACTGCTGCGAGGCTTGAAAGGCAGCCTAAAAAGCTCTTTTCCTTCTTTGTAATCACCAGTCGCTGGATCAGTGCGCAAATATCACAAATACAGTTGCAAATGTAAGTATTCCTTGCCTGTGTGGCGCTTTCAAATTGCTAATTAGGGTTTCTACCTCAGCGTTCTGCTTGAAAAAGCAGAGAGATGAAAGCTGAAAACATCCTGACAGGGAAAGCTTCTCTGCATTATTGTTCTGTCTTTCAGTGGAAGAGCTACTCAGAGAAAGGGATGCATGAAAGCTTTCTGGAACAAATAGTTTGCGGTTGTGTTTGTTGATTTTTTGGGACGTCTGCTTGCTGCTTTGTCTGTGAGGGGAGAAACCAAGCAAATGCAGGAGGTACTTCTGCAGTGATGGTTTTCTGCTTACATTAGATTTAGATATAGAGTGGGAAAGATACTTCAACAGTAATAGATGGCTTGTGAATGCACAGGAGAGAAATCTGCCATGGTATTTTTCACCTGGAATCTTTTCTTTAAAAATCCATAAATGCAGACCCGGACTTCTCATTAAGAAACTCGACAGTACCTTATTATCAGAAGAGCAAACAAATAGTCATCATAAGGGGCACCAGTAAGTCTGCATCTGACCTGATAAGAACAATGAACATAGCACGGTGAGCAATGCATGTTTTTCACCAATCTCACTCTGTCTGTACATGAAGACGATCTTTATCTGCTATGTGGCATGAAGGTAGGATAGTAAGGTGGTTTTGGGAAGCAGCAGAGTTGAAGGTTTCTCAGTGTTGTGATGATACCGCAAGGAGGAGAGTTGGTATTTGTTAGTGTTTTTTAGTCTCATAGCACTGAAGAAACAGGATCTTGGTTTTTGTTCTCCTTTATAATTCAAAGCTTCTGTAGTGCCATTGTTCTATTGAGTTTATGGCTAGTGAATTCTTACAGTACTGTGAATTAAATCTGCTTATTGAAAACAGCCTGTGGTCAGTACCAAATATAAATGTCACATAATTGCACAAGAGATGCAGGCTGTAGCCGGTTTGTTTGTGTTGCCACATCATGTTTCTTGCTTTATTTACAGGTTTTGTTATTTCTTAGGGACCACTGTGGTACTGTAAGCTTTTTATGAGCCATGTGAAAATGTCATGATCACAGTTAACAGATGACTGCCATTAAGTGACTAGGGACAGGGTATATATGTTGTGTTGTTTGCTGCACATAGCGGGCTAAAAATATTCATGGTAAAACCTCCTTGATAATGCTGCTATAACACAGTTAATGTTTGATCAATCTGTTGTTTATAAGCTGCTTTTGCAATACTTCAGCTTCATCTTACAGATTTATATTTAGAAATACCTGTCTTCATTGTAGCAAGTGAAAGGTGGTTTTGGAGCTTCTCATTTTTTCTCTTATCTCTTTTTTCCCTCATATACAGTCAGAAATTCATAGCTTCCCTGAACCTTAGTTGTGAAAATGGTCATTTTTGATGACAGCTGTGGAGCTTATCTTCCAAAGCCTGAATGGCAGCCAGCCAACTGCTGAGACAAGTGGTGACCTTTCAGGACAATGTCTCTCACAAAAATGTCAAAATATTAAAATGTCAGACGTCAAATGCCATGTGCACTGGGAAGGGTTGTCAGCTGGCAGGCTTTCAGCTGAAAGCAGTTAATCCACTGCTTGCCTGGATTAAAGATTGAAAGCCCCTACCTAAATCTCTAAAATGTAGGGATGACACGATACATATGTCCTGGATAGTTTCAGAAGTTCTTCTGGGAAGATCTGGGACATGGATGGAAAATTTCACAGGTGTTCTATTTCAGATCTGCTCAGGGATCTTCCTGGTGGATGTCCAGAAAAGCAACTTTTTGGCTTTTCTTTTGCACTTCGCATCATATACCAGTTTTCCTCCCAAATCTTTTATCCACAATGTAAATGGATCCCAATGAAGCCTAAGCGGAGTTCATTGCGCAGCAGGATGCTGAGATTCTGATAGCGTGTGCACTGACTTTTTAGGCATATGCTCACTGAATATTAAACAATCCCCTGCAGTTCTTGGTGCTGCAGCCCTGAGCTGAAACCCCATTTGCTATTACATGCATCAATACTTTGTAACTTTCTTGAAGGCACTGAGGTGTGAGCATTCCTATGCTCACTGGTGTGTCTGTCAGCTTCTCAGATATCTTTACCCCCAGTAAACAGATTAGTGACACTGTGATTGCCTGCCTTCTTGGTTTGCCCCCTGCCACATAAGTATTTCTGGGACGTGTGAAACTGCCTGATCCTCTATCTTAGCCTGTAGGAAAGCCAGGCATTGTGCATGGTTGATCAGGGAACTAACCTGTTCACCTTGTGGCTGACCTCACCTGGAGAATAAGAAAGGGTACACCAGTGACTGCACCAGACTAGTCTTGTCTAGCCGGTTTTCAACTGGCCACAGTTCAACAGAATCCTCAGTATTCTCCATGCAAAGCACGGGGTGAGCTGCCAACACAGGTAACCCCTACAAAGCAGACAATGGCCAGATTTAATGGTGCCAAATCCACTGTTGCTTACCAAGATGCTGAAAAGGGATGTAGTCCTTTCCAGTATTTCCTTCCTATAAAGGAATAATCCTTCTCTTTCAAGACAGGAGTTCTGTGTCACTCCAAGTTCTCTCTCTTACTATAGGCAATCAACTTTTTAGAGCTGTGTTTTAGTGTTCTTCACTTCTACTCCTAGAGCAAGTGTGTCCTGCCCCCCACCTTTAAAACTGAACACTGCTTTCCATGACCACCTTCTCTCTTCTGTAGTCATAGGAAAGACTAAGTCCCCATGTTTGTCTTTTCTTTCCAGTCAGTATTCTGTGATCACTCCTCCTTTCTCCTAATTCCCTACAAGAATAATTATGAAGCAGATGAGGTAGATAAGGACAAATTCCCATAAACATCTTACAGAAATTAATCCTTCCTCCTTCCCTTCCTTTCTTCTTTCTGTCTTCATATTTCTGTATGCTTTGCCACAATCATTTCTGTGATTTGTGACTTACTGAGATTTAAAAATCTGTTTGGAAGAAAAACATTATGCTCATCTAGTTGAAGAATAAAAGGTAACTGAGGTACCAATTAATGTAATTTATCACAACACAGATACCTAGGCTGAGTTTTGGATTTTGATCTTCAAACAGCAAACCACATGTAAGCACAATCTGTTTAATCATTATGTTAAAGAAAAAATAAAATAGGGATGGTGCTGTTTTCTGTGGGCTTTGCATAAAGAAAAACTCTGAGGAAAATAACTGAATTTCTTTAAAATCCAATTATACAGGGCTTGGTTGTTTCATAAGAACCTGTACAGTGTCAGTCAGATCAGTTCACTAAACATCAGTCATCACAGTCATTACACCTGATATGAAATTGTGACTTGCACCAATGGCATTATCATTTTATTCTGCATTTATATTATTATTACTCTTTACTATTTCTGTAGTATCTATAAACACTTTTATTGGAAGGGTGCTGTGCTAGCTACTCTATATAAACAGAAGGTAATCCTTGGCCCCAGATTGCTTACAAGCTATTTTAAAAATAAAGCAAACCCCCCTTATCCAGTTAACACCTTTTCTTGTTTGACTTTTTATCTGGATTCAGAATACAGATGTCAGTAGTATATTATAACTGAATTGGTCATCAGGATACCAGAGTTTGCCTAGACATGGGCATGAAATTGCAGGTAATTAAAATGAGAAAATTACATACACTTATTGTGACCTTATATCAAAGCTGTCTTACTGACTCACTTGGAGTATCTTCCTTAGACTGTTCATGTTATCCATTAAGTTAATGACATATATTAATTGAAATTAACTCAACTGACCGAACAAACATGACTGTAATTACAAAAGAGTTGTGGGCCACTGATGAAGATTCCGTTTAAAATCATTAAGACACTGTTGTCAATTACTAAGTTAATAAGGCTCATGATAATTACTAAGGTAATAATATTAATTATTGTGTGATGAAGCATGTTTACCTGTGATTATTTACAGGATCTAATATTCAATGTTGATTAGTAACATGAAATAGCAACAACATGACACGTGGCCACCAGATGGTAATCGACTCATCATGGACCATGTACTGTGATTCAGGCAGGTGAACAGTGGGGTTCATAATATGGAATGAGTCTTCATCTGTATTTTCTGGAAGACCATCTTTTCCCATCTCTCTGCTCCTTACCCATCCTACAAGTAGATTTCAGAAGTCACACATCTCTTAACATCACCTTTTCTGCTACTTGTTGTTTGAACAGTATGGTGTAAGGCACACGGTAGTTTTTATACCTGTAAACCAGGACTGAATCTGCCATCTGAAATCAGTCAGAAAAACTCTCAAGTTTACAAATCCATACTATAATGTGCTATTCCTTTCTGAAGGTATTTAATTTATTCAGTTTGTACACTCTTCAGATCATCCTTCATGAGGCAAAGTTGTAGCATGTGAGTATAAGCTATAACTTAACTGAGCAATATAACTGATATAACTGAGCAAAACTGCATAATTATTCATTCTGGAAAATTATCTTGTGCAAGCCACTATGATTTCTAAGTGCCATTTTTATTATGAGATCATAAACCTAGTTGTATATGCAGGGGTAAAAAATCTAACGGATCCCAGAGGGCCAGGTTGCAGTTGGAAAGATACAATACCTTGAATTTCCCAGGATTTTTTCATTTCGGTTTGAAGCTATACATTGCAATAGTAACTCTTTTTGCATTGACACTGCAACTTATATAGCTGTGGTGACATACTAAAAACTAACAGTGGACACTGGTGTCAGCCTAAATTTAAATATATTCTGACAGTGGCACTGTTGTCCCTTCTATAAAGCAGCTGAAAGAATCTAAACCAATGCAAGCTGCCAAACATGAAAGACTATTGTACTCATCAAATGTCTTGGGTTTTGTTTTTTTTATTTTTTCATACGGGGAACAATGAATAAAGCAGTTTGAAAGATTATTTGCAAGCATGCAATTAATCATAAATTCAGCTTGATCTGGATGGATAAAGCAGTAGTTTATCAATCTGGTTAGCTAGGACTTTGACAGGATTTTGCAGAACTCATTAGTTCAGGAATATTAGGACAGGTGCCTTTTTTTTTTTTGTGAGAGAATTATATGATTCCCAAATGGATAAATTAAAAGGCCAAAGGCAAAATAATTTATCCTCAGGAGTGGTATGGATTACTGTTAAGAACATTCTGAAATTCTTGTCCTATCATTCATGTATTTCAAAGCATTCCTAAAAGTAATGACCTAGTTTTAAAAACAGTAAATCAGAAATCACTGAATCACTGCAGCTTCTTTGTCTTTTAGAAAGATGGGTAGTCTTAATTTAAAGGTTTCAGTACTTTTGAGTCTCCTTTACATCTCTAGGGGAGTCATTCCAAAAAGTTAAATACATTTTCTGTTCTGCTTCCCCCCTCCCCTTCAATTCAGTGGGAATTCACTCAGTCAAGGAGCCTTTTTAAGAACTAAGAGAGTCTACAGACTGAAAGCAAGCTACCTCTGTTGAATGCTTTGTAATGAACAAGCTTGCTTTCTTCTTTGGATGGAAATAGGTTCACTGAAATATGTGTCTGGCTCTGTCTTGGCAGAATGGAGAGAAGCAGTTCCTTCTAGGTG